AGATCTGATGGCACACGGTCAAAAAACATGAATGTATCAACTTCACCGCATGAAATATGGGTTGATAGCTGCTGTTCTTAGCTAAGATGTCGGGAGCTGGTGTACACTGAGGAAGAGTTTCATCATGACATCTACTGTTATTCATGACAGTAGAGTGTTCACTGGCCGCATGGGAGCAGTGAGAGTAACGAGCGTGTGAGTGCAGAGGGCTGTGTGCCTCCTCCACGTGCGGGGCACTGGGGACACAGCAGTGAGCACCACTGACAAGCATCCCTTGAGGAGCTTATGCTCCAGTTGGAGAAGACAGATGATAAGCAAGATGGACAAAGGAAGTATGTAGTGTTAGGTGGTGATATATAATAAGGAGAAAAATAAAGCGGGAAAAGGGGTGGTAAGAATTGGGGAAAGAGTCTTGAATTTTTAAATAAGGTGGCCATGTCAGGAGTCAGTGAGAAGGAACTGTTTGAGTAGCTACCTGGAGGGAGTGAGTGAAGGAACCGTGTGGCCATGTGGTGGGGAAGAGCATTCAAAACACACACACACACACATACATACACGCATGCATACACACACAAACACACACACGTGCACATAGAGCAACTGCTAAGACCCTAAGGTGGAGATGTGCCTGGAAGGTTAAAGAACGAAGAGACCAGTATGACTGGAGCCTAGGGAACAGGGAGTGATGAGAGACGAAGCGGGGAGGTAAAGGAGAGGCTGCAAATGTGTCGGCAGGTCCCTGTAGCTACACGTGGGTTTCGGGCTGCGAGTGGGATGGGAAGGCACTGGAGGGTGTGAGCCAAGAAGTGACATGATCTGGCTCATGTTTCTAGAGGATATTAAGGCTGCTGTGTTGAAATACATTGTAGGAAAGTAAGGGCAGAAGCCAGGAGACCAGCTGGAAGGCCTAGGGTAATTTTCCAGATGAGCCTGGACCAGAGTATTAGCTATGGAGGTGAGGAGAAGGAGCTGGATGCTGGATATAATTTGATGGGAGAACCAACAGGATTTACTGATGCATTTGAAGTGATCTGTGAGAGAGAGACTGATAGTACCTACACATCACACAGAAAAACTTCCATTCGAGATAAATGCTTAAAACCTTTTACTTCTAGAGATGCGTGATGGAGTGTGAAGGCTGCTAGAATAGACAAAAAAGAGTCTATAGGGATTCTGAGGAGAAAGGCCACTCAGAGGAGGACAGTCAGGGGTGGACTTGATTGGACCTTGAAGAATGGGTAGGATCCAGAGAGTTGGAAAGGCCCAGGCAGGGTATGGTGAGGTCAGCAAAGGAAGGGACCTGGTTCCTCCTAGGCCTGTGCTGATCATGGAGCCTGGAGTACAGGCTTTAGATCTTACAGTTTTAAGATAGGATGGTAGCAGGAGGTCAGTTTGTCTGGCACTTGAACTCCAGGTGGGGCAGTTTAGAACTTTACCTTCAGTCAGTAGGAATGACTGGGAGTTTTTGACTGGGGGAGTTGAGTGGTACGGGTTGGCTTCAACAATTTGCTTCTCTTGTAAGCTCTGACTGAGAACCATTGGTTAATATATATAATATATATAATACACACACAGAGTAATATACATATACACACATTCTTATATAACTGTAATATATAGTTATATATTCATATGTATACATATATAATTGTGATATACAGTAATTATACACATATACACATACATGTAGGTGTATATGTATGCGTATGTGTGCCGTGTGTGTGTGTATATATGTATCTAAATACACACAGGCACACATATACATGCATATACATACACAGGCACACATATACATACATATATACACACACAGGCACACAGATATATATGGGAATGATTCCATTGGACTTGCTTGCTATATAATAGAAATAAATGTTTCTGGTTACACTGACAAATTTTAAAAAGCTTTATCTATATTTTAGGGAGTAGTTAGGGTTTTTTTTGGTGAATGCTATTTAATGAATTTTCCTCTCACTGGATAATTGTGTGTCTGGCCAATACACATCCTGCACAATTCCGTTTGCCACTCCAAGATGTTATCCTCAGGTGCCCTGGCATAAACAGTATGGCGGAAATACCCTTTTCCCTGTCTGTGTTTGTAAGATAGCCTCTTTCATGCCAGAAGAACTATTTTGGGAGAATGATTCATGTCACATTTTGGCCTCATTACAGTTTTAAGTTGTAAATGATGCCGGTTTGCCTGGAGGTGTAAACATAAGTGTTATCTTCATATGCATATGGGAATACCTGTAACAGAAAAAGTACTTTCTATTCTTGAGTTACAGTCTAGGTTATAAACAAAGAGATTAACAAGATCTTTATCAAAATTCTAATTTTATTGATGAGAAGCATACTTCCGAAAGAGTACCAGCTACCTGTGGCTCTGCCTCCATTCTCCATTTCCAATCACAGATGGAGAGTCAAAGAACTTAATGTCTTATTGTTATGAGCAGATGATTCTATAAAATAAACACTGTGCTTTCTCTTTTGAAATAGTGTGAAAAGTGAGAGCAGGTGTTAAATTACTGTCTTGCTGTTTGTGGTTAAAAGTAACAGGAGGTACAAAAATCATTCAAAGTGTATTTAGGTGTGAATGATAAAGTAAGGTGAAGCCATTCTAATTATTCCAGTTTGCTTTCTGGTAACTTTAAAGGATGTGGCAAAGCTTCCTTATTTACTCAGTGGTTAACAATGTATGACGACATTGGAAATGAGGAACACTTAACATCTGAGTTCATTACCAGGCCTTGTACACAACAGTGCCATAAAAGTGTTTATTGGCTGGGTGTGGTGACTCACATCTGTAATCCCAGCACTTTGGGAGGCTGAGGTGGGTGTATCACGAGGTCAGGAGTTCGCGACCAGCCTGGCCAACATGGTGAAACTCTGTCTCTACTAAAAGTACAAAAATTAGCCCAGCACGATGGCAGGCACCTGTAATCCCAACTACTGGGGAGGCTGAGGCAGGATAATCGCTTGAACCAGGGCGGCAGAGGTTACAGTGAGCCAAGATCACGCCACTGCACTCCAGCCTAGGCGACAAAGAATCCGTATCAAAAAAAAAAAAAAAAAAAGTGTTTATTGATTTGTCCCCAGATAACTGAGTTCAAATAGGAAAAAATTAGGTTTTGAATGTGGCTAGATTTTTCTATGATTCTCAAGGAATTACATACCCTATCTTAAAATTTTAAAATTGACAAAATATTACTTATTTTATAATTATAAATTATAAAAGTGAAAATTGAAAAACAAAAAATTAAAGGAATGCTAATGGATTTGTTGTTGTTTGCTATACATCCTTTTTTTTTTTTTTTTTTGGCGTCTTGCTCAGTTTCCCAGCCTGGAGTGCAGTGGTGTGATCTTGCCTCACTACAATCTCTGCCCACTAAGTTCAAGTGATTTTCCCACCTCGGCCTCCCGCGTAGCTGAGATTACAGGTGCACATCACCATGCCCAGCTGATTTTTGTATTTTTAGTAGAAATGGGGTTTCACCATGTTGGCCAGGCTGGTCTCAAACTCCTGACCTCAAGTGATCCACCTGCCTCAGCCTCCTAAAGTTCTGGGATTACAGGCGTGAGCCACTGCACCTGGCCTGTTTTTTTTTTTTTTTTTTTTTTTTTTTTTTTTTTTTTTTTTGAGATGGAGTTTCGCTCTTGTTGCCCAGGCTGGAGTGTGATGGCATCATCTTGGCTCTCTGCAACCTCCACCTCCCAGGTTCAAGCGATTCTCCTGTCTCAGCCTCCCAAGTAGCTAGGAGTACAGGCATGTGCCACCACAGTGGCTAATTTTGTATTTTTAGTAGAGATGGGATTTCACCATGTTAGCCAGGTTGCTCTCGAACTCCTGACCTCAGGTGATCCACCAGCCGTGGCCTCCCAAAGTGTTGGGATTACAGGCGTGAGCCACCGTGCCTGGCCTATATGCACATTTTGATGGCAAGTTTTTTGGATACAGTGACAACCTTTTTGATTCACTGACAGTGAGACATACTCTCCCCACTCCCTTGGGCATGTGCTTTAAAAAATTATTTTCTGGTTCATCTGTGGTTGGTGCTTTCCATTTGGAACTTTTGACCCATGCCATTTAGGCAGATTTATTCATATTTGAATAAGATTCTTCAATTAACAGTAAACCAAATGCATTGTAACATCTTATTTAATTCTAAAGTGGTGGTTTGAAAAAATATTAGCAATTTGAGGACACTTAAGCAGTTTTGTCAATTCAGCTGAATCCAGCCTCATAGCAAAATCTGGCCTTGAATTCCCCCATCCTGCTAGAATCTTCTAACTATGATGAGTGACACCTACTTTTTTCTTTTTTTTTCTTTATGTTAGACATAAAAAAAATCTTCTCTTGGTTATTCAGTGACTGCCTCATTAACTAGCCTGGGTCTCTACTTCTAGAAATTAGAATTTAGTGGTTCTGGAGTGGGGCCCAAACACCTATATTAAAAAACAGGGCCGGGTGCCGTGGCTCATGCCTGTAATCCTAGTACTTTGGGAGGCCGAGGTGGGTGGATCACGAGGTTAGGAGATCGAGACCATCCTGGCTAACACGGTGAAATCCCATCTCTAAAAACACACAAAACTGGCTGGGCGTGGTGGCGGGCGCCTGTAGTCCCAGCTATTCGGGAGGCTGAGGAAGGAGAATGGCTTGAACCCGGGAGGCGGAGCTTGCAGTGAGCTGAGATCCAGCCACTGCACTCCAGCCTGGGCGACAGAGCGAGACCGTCTCAAAAAACAAACAAACAAACAAACAAAACAAAAGCCACCAAAAAAGCTCTCCCAATGATTCTGATGCTTTAAGAGGACAATGGGTAAATAAAGGGCAAGCTTCAAAACCAAGATGTAAACATGGACACAAATCTCCGAAGGTCCCCTTTTTTGAAAGTTAACTGGATTGAACTGTGACGTGTCTATGGTATGACAGTGAAATGAGAGAACTCCTAACATGTAATGAAACGTTGCTGTATTTCACATTTCCCCTTCTGTCTTCTCAGCCATCATGTATGTCATGGGAGCACTTGGCCCTGCAGTGGGATATTTATTAGGTGGACTTCTTATTGGTTTTTATGTTGATCCCAGAAATCCTGTTCACCTTGACCAGAATGACCCTCGTTTCATTGGAAACTGGTAAGTTCTGTTCTCTCTAATTTTTAAATTTCACTTCTAACGATAGTTAAAATAATAGTACATTTGTATTTAAAATTTTTCCAATAGGGAGACAAAAAATAGGTGAAAGGTGTCTGGGAAGGGGTGACAGGCAGGATAATAACATCCCAAAGAAAGCTACATCCTAATCCCCAGAACCTATGAATATGTTATCTTACATGGCAAAAGGGACATTGCAAATGTGATTAAGGACTCTGAGATTACTTTAGATGACCTGGGTGGGCCCAACGTAATCAAAGGAAAGAGTGAGGCAGGAGGGCAAGAATCAGAGAAGGAGATTTGCTGATTGAAGCACAGGTTGGAGTGATGTGCCTTGAAGATGGAGGAAGGGGCTGCGAGCAAAGAATGCAAGTGGACTCTAGAAGCTGGAAAAGCAAGGAAATGGGCTCTTCCCCAGCCTCCAGAAGGCACGCAGCCCTTTCAGCCATTTTACACTTCTGACCTCCACAACTGTCACATGAATCAGATTGTGTTCCTGAAGCCACTTCTTATAGCAGGGAGCTTATACAGAGGGTTTGGGGACCCTGGCTTAATCCGCATTCTTCAGGTTTGGGGTGCTTCCTTTATAGCAGAGTGAAGGAAAACGACTGCTGTGGCTGTGTGGGGACTTTCCTGCTGACTTTAATCACACCTTTCAGTATCTTTTCTGTGCCTTAAAAAAAATGCATTGTTTTCACTTTCTTATTGTATTTGTGTGTCTGCTTTACAACCCTTTCCCACTGCCTGGAATGCCAGTCCTGCTTTTCCATTGTCACACTCTCAGTGACCCTTTTTTCCTGCTAATATTTTGTTTCCTTAAGTGTGCTAGAGATTTAGCTGCTTTCTCGCTTCCTAGGACTTAACTGTCCTGCAAAATAAGTGATGCTTAGGACTCAGAATGAGAACTTCAACTTTGGATGTTATGTTATTTATCCAAATAACAGAGTCGTGTTTGAGTTCTTGCAGTCCTCAACTTGAACATAATAAGTTATTTTTTACAATTGCAAGCACTAACTGAAAATATTGGTGTCCTGAATTCATTTCATGTGGGTTAGCAATATATATACATTGATAAGGCATTTTCACTTTATAGTAAAGAGAATACTTCAGTATTAGACAAGATACATGCCAAGTAATTACTCACCTTTTTTTGGAACATAGACGCACATGAAGAAAGTAATTACTTTCTAAAGAGTGCCTTAGAGTACTTTGTTTTCTCTGTGTTTCATTACATGATAATAACATTGTAACTCTGAGGTTGGTAGGAATAATGTTTAACACACTATTGATTTTCAAAGCAGCTAACAGATATCAGTTGTTATACACACTTCCTATTTTCATAAGTAACGCTCTTTGAAGTTGGAAGTGTTATGTCTGGTAGAATTTTTAAATCATACAGAAAGGAGTTCCCCTGTCAGCGTTAGGGAAGTAACACAGGAGTTTTAAGTTCTTGACTCATAGTGAAATTTCTGGTCTTGTCTGTTTTCTTTCCAGTTCTGAAATAAATCAGAGTAGAGACTTTTTTCATTGTCAGAAAACCAGATTAATTAACTCTATTTATGAACATCCAGCATATGTTCTGTGTTCTATTTAGAGGTCCTTAAGGAGGGCACAGTGACAGGGAAACATCTGGAGGGAAAGATGGGGAGAACCAACTCGGGTAGGGAGAAGGAGGGAAGGCAGGAGCTTTAGTCTTACCAGTGCTTTATGCTGTCTTTTGAACTGTTTTTAGGAGACGTTAGTCCAGTTGGCAGCAAAATTGAGAGATGGGGGCTGGGTATGGTGGCTCATGCCTGTAATCCCAACACTTTTGGAGGCCGAGGCAGGTGGATCACTTGAAGGTCAGGAGTTTGAGATCACCCTGGCCAACGTGGCGAGCCTCCATCTCTACTAAAAATACAAAAAATTAGCCAGGTGTGGTGGCGCATGCCTGTAGTCCCAGCTACTTGAGAGGCTGAGGCAGGAGAATCGCTTGAACCTGGGAGGCGGAGGTTGCAGTGAGCTGAGATCGTGCCGTTGCACTCCAGCCTGAGTGACAGAGTGAGACTCTATCTCAAAATAAATAAATAATAAATAAATAAAATTGAGAGATGAAGAGTATATGACCCTGAAGCCATATTCCCCTGGGTTTAAACCCTAGTCTGCCACCTAATACCTATGTGACCTTGGGGAAGTTACTCTGTGCCTCAGTTTTTATAATCCATAAAAGAAGGTAGTTATGGTACTTATTATCATAGGGTCGTTGTGAGGAATGAATGAGTTTATATGTCTGGCACTCTAAGTTGTTCCTGCTGTACAGTATGTGTTAGCTATTCAGTCCTTTGAATTTAATCAGCGCTGAAGTAATTTTACCCATTTTTAATGGCTCAATGTTAGTTCTACACATGATAAAGACTGTCAATATAGAAACATATAATGAGGGTCTATTTAAACACAAATTTGAATTTTATTGAGTAACTACTTGTAACAGACTTCTGCCTTGAACAAAGACAGTTATTTGATGCAATGTTATTTTATATGATGTCTAGCAGCAGTGATAAATTTTCAATAGGTATATGATGAGAGGCAGAAGATGGAAGGAAGGAATGAATAATGCTAAAATGTATTGGGTGCTTATTTTGTGTCCAGCATTATACTAAGCTCTACAAACATTCTCATTTAAGCCTTGTAACAACCATAGGTAGTCACTGGTATTATGTGCATTTTGCAGCTGAGGAAATTGGTGTTCAGGGAGTTCAATAATTTTCCATAGGCCTCAGAGTCAGTGAGAGCTGAGAAAAGAAACTGACTCCAGAGCAGAGCTCTCAGTCTATTCTCTTACTGGCCCCCTTAGTGAATGGTCTCTGAGTCACGGTTCATGAAAGGGATTTAGGTAGCTTGGCTTTTCAAGTGTAGCTAGTATTGATGTGTCTTTTTCCAACATGTAGTGCACACTTTCTTGTCTCACTCAGCTTTTCTCAGAGTCCTCTTTAGCATCATTATTATATCACGTGTTGTATCGATGTTATTTGAGACTGTTGAAGAATGAGAGTCGGTTTGCTCTGCTTTGAAGTGACCCCACACTTTAATATTATTTTTGTATTATTTTTGTTTATTTGCTATATTTCTCCCCTTCCTGTTACGCACCTTCACTTTGGGCTATTACAAGTAAATTTTTAATGTTTGCATATAATTTTAAGTCAATGGCTGGGGCTGGGATGGGCAGGGAGGCTGAGTGCAATGCTATGTAAAAAGCATGCCGGGTGCGGTGGCTCACACTTATAATCCCAGCAGTTTGGGAGGCTGAGGTGGGCAGATCACTTGAGCCCAGGAGTTCAAGACCAACCTGGGCAACATAGTGAGACCCCCCCACTTCTCAAAAAAAAAAAAAAATTAGCCACTGTGCCTGTAGTCCCAGCTATTTGGTAGGCTCACGTGGAAGGATCACTTGAGCTCGGGAGGTCAAGGCTGCCGTGAGCCATGATTGTACCACTGCACTCCAGCCTGGGCGACAGAGTGAGGCACTGTCTCTAAAGAAAAAAAAGTCAAAGTAAATAAATAAATAAATTAAAAGGCAAAGCAACCACACAAAGCTAGCTATCATGAACCGATTGCTAATTTGGGGACAGACATTTTATGACGTCCATCATAACATTGTCTTATTTAATTTCAATGATCCCCAAACATACTTATTACCCCTCTTGTAGATAAGAAGGCCAATTTAGAAAAGCAAAATAATTTCCCCAGGATCCTATAGTAAGCAAGTGGTAAAGACAGGATACAAATCCAGGTCTGTCTGAAGCCACAGCCCATGAGTTGTCCCCTGCACTACACTGCCTGCCCTCTTCTGGAGAGAGTGTGAGAGCTCAGGCAGCTGCAGGGATTCGGGGGACTGGAATGGAGAGTTTGTGGAGACTGGCTCCAGAGGCAAGTGAGCAGTGCCTGATGGGTAAGGACCTCGTAAGCAGCCAAGTAGTAAGAGGGGTCAGGCATTATCATACCTATGTTCTCTGTAGACAGATGACCTTTTAAATTTTTTTTATTTTTATTTTTGAGACAGAGTTTCACTCTTATTGCCCAGACTGGAGTGCAGTGGCAAGGTCTTGGCTCAGTGCAACCTCCGCCTCCTGGGTTCAAGCCATCCTCCTGCCTCAGCCTCCCGAGTAGCTGGGATTACAGGCACTTGCCACCATGCCCAGCTAATTTTTGTATTTTTAGTTGAGACAGGGTTTCACCATGTTTAGCAGGCTGGTCTCGAACTCCTGACCTCAGGTGATCCACCCACCTTGGCCTCCCAAAGTGCTGGGATTACAGGCGTGAGCTACTGTGCCCAGCTGACGTTTTTAAAATCAAAACTGTCTCTTTCAATTTATTTATTCAGCAGATTTTTTTTGAGTACCTAATCTGTGTCAGGCACTGGGCTGGTGGTTACATTCTGAATAACTGAGATTTCTGGAAGTCTGCCCTGAGCAAACTTCTCAAAATAAAGCCCTTTCCTGACTATCTTAAAATCTTCATTTGATGTAACTTTAAATATCTTTGAAAATAGCACACTCAATTATTAATGACTAATTGTAGGAATCATTCTCTCAACTGTGACCTTTAGTAGCTGATAACAGCACTTAATAGAAACTTATTTTAAAAAATGAATTTTCACTTTGCAATGGATCTATATTCTTACTTGATTGAATTCAGTATTAATACTTATGATGCTGCTTGCATTCTGCTTACAATTGATGGGAATGTGTTGACTATTTATGAACTTGGAAGCTTGAATGGCAGAGTTTGGAGGTGAGGAATCGTAGTTAGAACGTGACTACCCTGTTAGGGAGGGCCAGGAACCTCTGATTGCTAAGGAAATGTTGAAAGGGGACTGAGAAATTGACCCACGGGGCATCATGCAGTCAAGAAGTCCAGGGCTCTAATACTACAATTTCATTCTACTCTCTGTATTTGCTTCCCAGTGCTCTGCAACGTGGCAACCTCAGGTGAATTTAAAGACAGAAGTCTGGCTCTAATAGCTCCTGTTCTATTTTTCTTGGGAAGCTTTCCAATACACATTCATTTCCCCTCTCTGAATTTTGATAGCACTCATAATCTGTACCATATAATCTAATATTTAATTATATGCATTTTACATTTCTTGGAGGTTGTTTCTTATATTTTTGGCTTGCTTATGAATAGGTTATAGGTTCTTGAAGGCAAGGACTAAGTTTAAATGTCTTTGTCGGTAACCCTCATACTTGGTGAAGTATTGTGAAGGCCAGCTAAGTGGGCAGCAATGCATTCTTTTATTTTTTAAGTCTTGCTCTGTCACCCAAGCTGGAGTGTGGAGTGCAGTGGCCTGATCTCTGCTCACTGCAACATCCACCTCCCAAGTTCAAGTGATTCTCAGGTAATCCCCGAGTAGCTGGGATTACAGGTGCACACCACCATACCCGGTTAATTTTTGCATTTTTAGTAGAGACAGGGTTTCACCGTGTTGGCCAGGCTGGTCTCAAACTCCTGTCTCAGCCTCCCAAAATGCTGGCATTATAGGTGTGAGTCACTGCACCCGGCTGGGTCAATACATTCTTAAGTGTTTGCAGAAAAATATTTGAATATTCTCAATAATGTAAAACATATTTCACATGGGATATTAATGCTTTTCTTATGAGAAAGAAATGTCTATATTGGTCCATATAACATGCTATAGTCTACATTATTTTTCTATTGAATTTATAATTTAGTGATATATCATAAAATACACATCATAGAAGGTTAGCAATGCTAGCAGAACTAACTCATTGGTGCTCAAAAACACTTGAATGAAATTCTAATCAGGTTACTGTTTATAATATTCAGTATAACACTAGTATAATTATTGAGTAGATTTCTCATTTACATCACAGAAAGGGAGAATTCCTTCATTTTCTTTGTTTGCTCAACTTCCCACTGCTTTACAGTTGATTACAAAAAGTTTTCTCGAGAATTTTTTCACCACAAACTTCTACTTTGCTAATTTGTCCTCACTCACAAAAGAAAAGCCATAAATGCTATTCACATTTTCCAATTTTTTAGGTGGAGTGGATTCCTCCTTTGTGCCATTGCAATGTTTCTTGTGATATTCCCAATGTTTACTTTTCCAAAAAAGCTTCCACCTCGACACAAGAAAAAGAAAAAGAAAAAGTTTTCTGTTGATGCTGTTAGTGATGACGATGTTCTGAAGGAGAAATCAAACAACAGTGAACAAGTGGACAAAAAAGTTTCTTCTATGGGATTTGGAAAGGATGTCAGAGGTAAAGTATACCTCTTGAATAAATACATGCATGGCGCTTTGGTCAGTGCTACTCAAAGTGTGGTCCCAGGCCAGTGCTGTCTACCCACTGTCTGTGGTTGGCTTGTGGCCAGATAAGTACTAAGATTGAGAGTAAGTGTTGCAAAACTTTTAGAAACTTGACAGAGTAATTTTTTTTGTGTTGCATCTAATAATAATTTAAAAATTAAGCTTATATTTTGTTATTTAAAATTAATTTTTAAATTATTCATTTGTGTATTTCGCAAAAGTATTAGTAGATGACAGGCTAGAAATCATAATTTTAAAAAATGGCTTTTCCTCACACACAGTTTGAGAAGCACTGATTTAGATCATAAAGAAACAGATGTCTATATATGTTATTTACTATAATTAGAGATGTCTGATTTTTAAAATATTAAAAATCAAGTGCATTGTGCCATGGAGGGTTTGTTTCAGGGGAATAATAGTGGCTTTGGTGTGTGGTTTGATGCCTACATAAGTATAAAACCTACCACTAGAAAGGGATCTCACTTAGCAGCTGTGTCAAATGCTTGCATATGGACTCAGAGAAGGGTGGCCAGGGGATGGGCCTCCAAACCCAGTGTAAAAGTATTCAGAAGGTCTTGGTGATGTATAGTTTATGTTTTTCATTTTTATTTATCTTAAAAATGCTGATTATATTAAGCTAGATTAGGCAATCTATAACCTAAACAATTTGAAGTGATCATGACCAGACAATATTTGTTCAGTGTTTCGTATATCTGTTGAATGAAAATAAGTCCCTTTAATTCTAGAAACCTATAATGTGACGCTCCCATTAGTTTCAATTTTGTTTCCAACATTCTCTGAATTGATTTTTTTTGGCATAAATTATGAAGCACAATATTTATCAAGTGCTTTCATCAGTCAAGGTTGTGTTAGGTAAAATTTACCTAGGTACGTTATCATCTCATTTTGACTGTATACACAGTGTGGCCAAAGAGGAACATTTCCAGCCTAGAATAAAGTTACTCATATGTTACAGACATGTCCCTATGGCCTAAGAATAATAACAGTTAGATTGAACCATTTTTAAAGACTATATTTTTTGAAAGCAAATGAAGTGCTATTTCATTGAAAATGCTTCTTTCCAGTTACATTTTAGATTTGGCCCTCTCCCTTCCCATGATTTGGTGACACTGTGCACTTTTGGAACTGTGCATGACTTCTTATGCTCTAATAACATAAATTGTTCTCTGGACGCTGGCATGGCCTGATCTCTTCCCATGTGCACTGGCCCATCATTTTTGTGAACCTGCTATAGACCGTTATGGCTACTATCAAAAGAGTGATTTTTTTTTCACAACTCAATTGAGACAAGGTTGATGTCAAAGAATTTAAAACATAGCAATAGTCTTTGTGATTCTTTTTTTTTTTGAGATGGGTTGCCCAGGCTGGAGTGCAGTGGTGCGATCTCCACTTACTGCAGTCTCTGCCTCCCAGGTTCAAGCAATTCTCCTGCCTCAGCCTCTTGAGTAGCTGGCATTACAGGCGCCCGCCCATGCGCAGCTAATTTTTTTTTTTTTTTTTTTTTTTTTTTTTTTTTTTTAGTAGAGCTGGTGTTCCACCATGTTGGCCAGGCTGGTCTCGAACTCCTGACCTCAGGTGATTCACCTTCCTCGGCCTCCCAAAGTGCTGGTATTACAGGCGTGAGTCACCATGCCTGGCCAGCCTTTGAGTTTTCATTTATGGAGACTATAAAGTAGACTCAAAGGGAGAAATAAAGTCATACATAAGATAAAATTATATGTTTTATAGCTTAGGGTTAGGTGACTTGAATATGAAATATATCATCTATTGGACAGTATAAAAAAGTGGGGAGAAGATTGATATCAAATACCAACAGCAGATACAACTGTTGCTGGGAATGAAGTTCTTTTGGAAGATGCAGTGTAGACAATGCGATCAATGCCCTGTCCACATTTTTGGACCCTACCGTTTTCATGGCGGAGGTCCACTAACTGCCGGGACTGAAATTATTTGCCTGAAGGTTTTTTTTTGTGGGCTGAGAAAACTGCTTGGCTCCTGCTTGAGGCGGTTTTCAGGTACCAAGGAATGAAACCCCTGGCCTGCCATGCCCCAGATAAGTCTTAAGCGGATGACTGGATAAGCACCGCGGCTCCTGCCCCTCTTGGAGGAGGCAATTCTTAGGTGTGTCTCTGTGTCTTTCGTGGGCTCTCCTCCCTTCCAGTGCACTTCCACCACGCTCTCCACCCAGCGTTCCCTGAGTTGCCCAAATAAATTATTTGGACGTGAACTCTTGTCTCAGGTCCTGCTCCTGGGGAACCCCTACTTAGACATGCAGTTTCAAAAGCGATCAGGGCCATTGAGAATTCAAAAATGATTTGGGAAATTGAATCTATACACTATTTTATGGGAGATCTTCTTGTACTGCCAGGGGTTGCTTTTCTTTGTCTTCTCTATGCTCAATGTGATGGTTCAAGATATTTTCTTTTAAAAACAAGAATAAGAGGAGTCTTTGAACGGTGATGGGTAGTTGGTTTATAAAATCTGTTTGTATTCTGATTTTCTTATGAGTATTTTTGATAAAGCCTCCTTTTTTTACCCTATGCGTTGATTATCATGACTAATCCTGCTTCTGCAGCCAAATCTCCTGACTGGGACACACAACTGATTCATTTTATTATTTCCACTTGTACTGGATTCTCTAATCATATCAAGACTGGAACTTCAAGAGACACATTATCTTGTTAGAAAGAAATACTGTTTTAATTGAATTATACTGAAAATGTTTTGCCAAAAATGACATTGATGATATTAAAATAATGTTCAATTAGAATATTTAAAATTAATTCATTTTTATCTTGTATACATCTATTTCCTTTAGTGTATCTAATACATATCACCTGAAGAAAGTGATTAATATTTAATGTAATTTTCCAAAGGACAAATTAAATCCCCAGGAATCGTTCTGCTATTGACATCTTTTTTTTTTTTTTTTTTTTTGAAATGGAGTCTTGCTCTGTCACCCAGGCTGGAGTGCAGTGGCCGGATCTCAGCTCACTGCAAGCTCCGCCTCCCGGGTTTACGCCATTCTCCTGCCTCAGCCTCCTGAGTAGCTGGGACTACAGACGCCCGCCACCTCGCCCGGCTATTTTTTTGTATTTTTTACTAGAAACGGGGTTTCACCGGATTAGCCAGGATGGTCTTGATCTCCTGACCTCGTGATCCGCCCGTCTCGGCCTCCCAAAGTGCTGGGATTACAGGCTTGAGCCACCGCGCCCGGCCCTTTTTTTTTTTTTTTTTTTTTTTTTTTAACAAAGCTGAGATTTATTATTGAGGTCTTGCCTTAAAGAATGATTCATAGAAAAGTCCATTTTGAGTTAAATCTGAGTTTGAATCCCAGATCCTGTTTTCCCTCCTATTTTCTGGAGTAGGGCTTCTTTTGGTCTTAATTTTTAAATTTTTTATTCTATTTTTATTTTATTGAGACAGAGTCTCTCTCTGTCACCCAGGCTGGAGTGCAGTGGTATGAACTTGACTTGCTGCACCCTCAACCTCCCAGGCTCAAGTGATCCTTCCTGGCTCAGCCTCCCTAGTAGCTGGGACTACAAGCCTGTGCCACCACACCTAGGTAATTTTTGCATTTTTTGTACAGATGGGATTTCACCATGTTTCACAGGCTGGTCTAGAACTCCTGGGCTCAAGGGATCTGCCTGCCTCAGCCTCCCAAAGTGCTGGGATTACAAGTGTGAGCCACCGCACTTGGATTTTTGGTCTTTATTTTGTATTTCAAATTTGGATACCAATATTAGTACCTTCAAAGAGGAGGCAGAAGTTGGTAACTTATAATTCCTTAAACAGAAAATTATTGGCCAGGTACAGTGGCTCATGCCTGTAATCCCAGCACTTTGGGAGGCTGAGGTGGATCAACTGAGGTTGGGAGTTCGAGACCAGCCTGGCCAACATGGCAAAACCCAGTCTCTACTAAAAATACAAAAATTAGATGGGTGTTGTGGTGAGCACCTGTAATCCCAGCTACTTGGGAGGCTGAAACAGGAGATTTGCTTGAACCCGGGAAGTGGAGGTTGCAGTGAGCCAAGATTGTGCCACTGCACTCCAGCCTGTGCGACAGAGGTGCGACTACATCTCAAAAAAAAAAAAAGAAAAGAAAAGAAAAGAAACTTATTTGAGCTTGAGCCATACAGAATGGTGCCCTTTTGGGAAGTTCTATTGCAGAGAATGTTAGAAGAAAATATAAGTCCACCTCCACATTTTAATGACAGACATTGAGAAAATCTGACTCAGTGTTTTCATACTCTTATTATAAATTATGCAGGAATAATGCTGATTTAAGACACCACAAAGGGGAAAGTAGAATTCTCAGTGTATCTGCATTACATTCCACAAAGAGATTAGCATTGATTCCATCAAAAATCTTACCAATAAAAATAAACACTTAAAATATTTAAGTGAATCCATTTTCCTGAGGTTTGAGGTCCAGCATTTTAAAGCATTCCAAATTTAACTGGGCAGCTTTCTATCTAAAAAACTTTTGGTGGCAGTTAATCATAAGAAGGATTTTACTTTCTATGTCCACTTTTTAATCTTTGAAGCTTAATTGCTTAGTATTATTAATTAAGCATAAAATTTAACAGATTTTTTCTCTGCTAGAGTTTTGTCTGTTAGAGTGCAATATATTTAAAATCCTAACTAAATAAAATAGTTGCCCTGAGGTGATAAACTGATTTAAAGAGGCCACTGAAAGAGAATTTTGCTCATGGAAGGATAATGCTAGTATCATTGAATTCACTGAGTGTTCACTCTATAGAAGGTGTTGTACTCCATGCTTTTGTTATAAAGTTGAGTGAGTCATGGTTTACCCTCCAAGAGCTTAGAGTCCACTGAGGGAACCAGGACAAATACAGATGGAAATGTATTAAAGACCATAAAAAGAGAACAGGTGCAATGGTATGGAGGTTCAAGGCTGCAGAAGGAACG